GAGTGTGTCTCATGCACACCATTCCCCAGCTCCTCTGCGGCAGGGCCCCAGCTCTGCCAGTCACTTCCCAGCTGGGACAGACACACAGAGTTACCCTGTCCCAGTGCACCACTGGAACACTTCCCTTGCTGGGCTTTATGAGCTTCCTGGCAGTCCAGTGCTCCCATTTCTGGTGGTCCCTCTAGGTTGAGGTTCTGCTTTTTCTCGTGTCAGCCACCCCCTCTAGATCAGCACTACCGTCACCCTACAGCACCAATCCCACACACCACCCATGCTGTGTGCCACCCCTCCTGCCACTGCACTCCCAGCAAATTGCCCCAAGTGGGGCAAGGGATCCCAAGGCAGTGGGCAGAAGTGATGCCCTGCTTTGAGAGAGCCTGCCCTGGTCTGCCCACGTGCACGTTCACCCGTCACAGCACACCCTCTGCAGATCCTGCTCACCCTCTGTGACTTAGGGGAGCTGCTGGGCTGTCAGAGAAACATGCTGGGTGGCTTCTCTTGCTGCCCTCCAGACCAGGTTAGGTGGAACCATGATGGATAGAGACTGAAGCTCCCCATGCCTCTTGACTCAGTCAGATTTTCTCTCCTACAGCCCAGAGACATAGCCTGTTTTAAAACCACCATGGGTTGTTTTTGTTTTGTTTTGGGTTTTTTTTGATACAAGAATTCAACAGCCAACTCAAGCTTCCCCCACAAACCTGGCTACATCCACATGATGCTCTCAGCAAGTAATTCTTTCTTCCCTGCAGCCCCAAGTTCCTGCAGAAAACTCAATCAGTGCATGATAAGCAGCACTAATTTGGAAAAGCAGGACAGATGATAAACAACCAGGGCACTGATGCAGAGTGAAACCTTGCTCCCACAAGACAAGGCATGTGAATATCTGATGCAAATATGTAATGAACACATCCCACCAGTCTGTTGCTTTCCAGCCCGTCTTCTGCCATGTGACTGCACTCCGTGTGGCAGCTGCACATCAGTTCTCCCTCAGAGGTTTCATGATAGAGCCTCATGCCACACTCTGGGTATAAAGTGTTTCCAAAATCCATGGAATCACCTCTCTGCTTTTGTCTCCCACTAACTCCAGTCAGGTGCAAGTTGTCTTAAGCTCAGTGACTTTTAACACTTCTTTGCAGACCTGTGCTCTGAAAGTGTGTGAAGGATGTCCCCATCACCTGTCTTGTTCCAAGAGGCTCAGTCTTGTGTCGCCCTCTCAGATCCTAATCATGAGCTGCAGGTAGGGCTCCTTTGTCACAAAGCATCATGAAGTGTCTGGCTGTGATGCTTCCCACACTTTCAGTAGCAAAGTCTTTACACCAAACACAGAGAGAACGGAGAAAAAGTTGCAGTCCCACTGCAGAGGAAGCTGAGCTTGGGGTGCAGGCTGTGCCATGGAGTATAGGCTCTCATTTCATTTCTTTTAAGCCAAACTGATCTGGGATTTTGGCTCTGCTGGACACTTGACTTGGAGCACATGAAATACAGCTCTGCTGTTCCTGGGACACAGAGGCAAAAAGAAACATTTCCTCCTTTCAAAGAGGAGAGGAGTTCTGATGGTGAAACCAAAACTATGAATGTGGCACACCTCATGGGGCTATCCACACATTTAATATCTGCTCCTCTCTCATTTGGTTGAGGTGGGAGAAGCCACTCAGGTCACAGGACTAGCGGGGAGCAGGGCTTCCCAGTATGGAAGGATCCTCTTGAAGGATTGCAACAGTGCAGTTTGTAATACAGGAGCAACTTTTTCCGGGGGTGGAATTTGCTCTTGGAGACACAAGCAGGCGGGATTTTGGCTGGGGTAATTCTCTGGCACCTACAGGTACTAACAAACTCCAGCCTTGAGAGGACAAGGCACAATACCCTTGTGCAGGATACACTCTGCAGTGTCTGGTCTCAAAATCAGTGAGCACTTTGCTCAGTTGAAGGCTCCAGATCTCAGTGTAGGCAGGATCTGAGTTGGGAAATTTAGACAGAAAAAATGCTGACTCTAAACTTTGTCCCAGAGACCAAAAGAAAGGCCAGGCTGTAGCTTTTGTATGGCTAATATTCCTGTAGATATCATACATTTTCTATTGCATTATGAACTCCAAATGTTTAATCAATGCATGGCATTTTCTATTTTACTTACCTTTGTCCCTCCTCCAGAATAGCTGAAACAAAAGAGAAAACAAAATTTTCACAAACATGAAAAGTACCAACTCTCCTGCTCCAGCAACAGGCACCTCTTTGATTTATAAGTGGAGGAGACCTGCAGTCTAAGTTCCACTTGGGTGAGTCCGAGTTTCATGTTCCCCATAGTTCCCTCCCCATGGGAACTGGTACTCAAAAGAGACACCAATGCTTAAAATGGGACATAATCCTGCTCTCAGAGTGGAGAGCTGAAAATGTTTTTAAATAGGCTGATGATAATGTCAGATTGAGGATAGTCTCCAGGCCACCACAATATACACCAAGTTGTATATATATATATATACACATATATATACTCACAAATACTGTCATTACAGTATTTGTAACAGTATTTGTATATGTACTGGTGTGTGTGTATATATATATATATATATATATATACTCACAAATACTGTCATTACAGTTTAACCTGCACAATGAGGAAAGGCAAAGGGACAAGAGCCAGCACATGCTGTTTGGGTATCCATTTCACTCTGCCTACATGCTGGGCCCTGCCAAGGAAAGTGCTTTCTTGGGAAAGGATTTTCATGGCCAGCAGGGAGGGCAAGAGCAGCTGCTCAGCACGCCATCCCACCTCGGCACACACCTCTCTAATTCCCCATCCTCTACAAGTGCGAAGTGAAGCATGATCTGACTTTGCCCTCTGGAGGCACAGAATTGGCATGGCGCAGAGAGACACACAGCCCCAGAGGTGACTGAACTACCGCACTGCCTTTTGGAAAATCTGGTAGGAAGATTCATCCCCAGCTACAGCTTCCCGTGAGCCAGAGGGCAGAGCACTGCTGGTGAGGCATCCTCACCGCTTTCGTCTCACACTGCGGGAGTCAGTTTCTTGGTTTCTCCAGGGTAATACTACCCTAGTGTTTTGCATACTTCAAGAGCAAGGGTGTCAGTACAGGAGGCTGATTTTTCTTTTGGCACAAACTCTGCAGCATGTGATTTGAAATACTGCCACAAGTCTGAATCCAGCTACTGGAACTGCACACGTGGGTCCTCAGAGAGTGGCACTTCTTGGATTATTCCGCTAGCTCCAGAGTTTATTCTGCCACCTCCCAGATCACTGGGAAGCTTCAGGAATAAGCAGGTGGTCAAAGACTCTGGGGTCCCCTTACTTACTAGAAACCAGGGATGGGGTTTGTTTGCTGTGTGCAAATGGATCCTCACACACACTGATTTTTGTCCAAGCAGAGAAACCTTCATGGGAGCCCTGTTTCACTAGGATGAACATCTCCCACCTCCATTTGCTCCCACAAATACCATTTGTGCAATGGCAAAGAGTGCTTTGGGAAAGCTTTTCCCACAGAGATAGGCTCAGCAGTGCACTGGTGACCTGAGTTTTGGGAGAACTGGCAGGAGGCAGCAAGATGTGGGCAGGATCAGCTGCGCAGCCATGCACAGCACCTGCACACCTATGCACATCCACCCCTCTGCACACCCGTTCCCCTGCACTCACCTCTGCCCACATCCATTCCTGCACACCTGCAGATGCTCATGCCTTGCGCCCAGCCACACACGTGTGCACACTGGCATGTGTTGGTACACACACTCGCATCTCAGTGCACACCCACGAGGATCCTCAACCTCACACCAGTGCCCTTCCACACTAAGGTACCTGCGGGTGGTCCCTCTCCCATGCACATATCCGCCTGTGCACACCTGCACACACTAACCCTCTCCATCCCACATCTAGAGCCTCCTGCCATTCCTTTTATCCTTTGCCTCCTGAGGATCACCATGCCAGACGGCGGGGAGGATGTGCTGTCCCCCGCCAGCCCTGCGGGCATGTGCCACAGGGGTACAAGTCCTGGACTAGTGTCCCTCGCTACCTGGGCGCTTGTTCTGGCCCACAGTCTTAGGGTCTGACCCTCAGCCCCAAGTGTCTGAGCAAGCAGGAGGGAGCTGGCAGGTAAGTATGTCCCAGCAGCAGCCTGTGGAGAGCCTGGCATCCTTCCTGGGTGAAAGGATCACGTACCTGGAGGTCCTGTGGCACAAGGATCAGGGACAAGCAGGTCAGGTTAGGGGTAAACCAGGGGCACAGGAGCCCAGCTCTGTGCCAAATTGCTGCTGGGGACCGAAGGCAAGGGCCCCCATCCGTGCTCATTTTATGTAGCGGCTCTGCACACGAGTTGCACTGCCTAAACCCACACTCGTGGTCTCTCCCCGTGTAGATCTGTCACCGGGTGTTTTTTGCAAGTTTAATTCGTTTCTCCCGCTTCGCTGTCTCGAAGGAGCGTGGGGCTCCACGGGCGCCGCTGCCTGCAGCCGCCTGCCCTGCGCCGCGGACCCGCAGCATCCCCTCCGGCAGCGCTGGCCCCTCACCCCACCCCACCCACCCCACCCCACCCCGCCGCCCGCACCGGCCCCGAAGGCGCCGACGCTTGGGCATTCCCATGCCGGGACCCCCCGCACCGGGACCCCGGAGAGGCCGCCGCTCCGCTCGCTGCCCGCCGGTCCCCCGCAGCTCTGCGCTCCCGACGGCGGGGAGGGGGGGGGGGGGGGGATGGCGGAGGCGCCCCGACGGCGCTGGGGACGGGGACCACGGGAGGGTGGGCGGGGTGGGGACGGGGACCACGGGAGGGTGGGCGGGGTGGGGGGGTCCCGGGGTAGGGCTCTGCCCCTGCCCGCTGCGGCGGCGGCACGCCCGGCCCTGCCCGCGCCTCCCGGGCTGCGGGGCGTTGCAGGGGGAGTGCCGGCCGCCCGGGCGCGGAGCCGCCGGACACCGCCGCATAAAAGCCGCGGCGGCTCGGCTCGGCTCGGCGCGGCGCGGCGCTTCCCCGGCTCGGCTTCGGGGCCGCCCCGACGGCCGCATGACCGCCGAGAGCCGGCTGTCGCCGGGCCCCCCGCCGCCGCCCCCGCCGCTGAAGGCGGATGCGGCGCCGCCGGGGGAAGCGGCGGCGGCGGCGGCGGCGGGGGCGCGGGGCGGGCAGCGGCGGCGGCGCAAGAGGCCGGCGGAGCGGGGCAAGCCGCCCTACAGCTACATCGCCCTCATCGCCATGGCCATCGGGCAGGCGCCCGAGCGGAGGCTGACGCTGGGAGGCATCTACCGCTTCATCACCGAGCGCTTCCCCTTCTACCGCGACAGCCCCCGCAAGTGGCAGAACAGCATCCGCCACAACCTCACCCTCAACGACTGCTTCGTCAAGGTGCCGCGGGAGCCCGGCCGCCCCGGCAAGGGCAATTACTGGACGCTGGACCCCCACGCCCGCGACATGTTCGAGAGCGGCTCCTTCCTCCGGCGTAGGAAGCGCTTCAAGCGCAGCGACCTCTCCACCTACCCGGCCTTCCTCGCCGAGCGCCCCGGCGCGCCCTGCCGCCTCTTCCCGCTGCCCGCCCCGCCGCCCGCCGCCGACCTGCCCCCGGCCCCCGCCGCCGCCGCCGCCGCCTCCTGCGCCTTTGCCGCCGCCGCCGCCTTCCCCGCGCAGGGATGCGCCGCCGCGCTGCCCCACGCCTACGCCCCTCTGCCCGCCGCCCCCGGTCCCTACGCGACGGGCGGCCCCGGGCAGCTGTACGCGCCGTCGGGCCGCATCGTGCTGCCCGCCTCGCCGCCCGCCCCCGCCGGGCTCTACGGCCGCCGCTCCCCGGCGCCCTACCCGCCGCTGCCCCACGCGTACGGCGCCGGGGGGCAGCTGGGCGCCGCCGACCCCGGGCCGCGGCACGGCGCCTACCCCGGCGGCACCGACAGGTTCGTCCCGGCGCTCTGACCCTGCTCGCCACAGGCTGGGCGGCCCGACGGCGCGGACCGGAGCCCGGGAGAGCGGCGGGCTGCGGGGCTCGCCCGGCGCCGCTGGACCCGGGGCACCCCAGGGAGAAGCCGCAGGACCTTGCCCTGCCGCCTCCGCGTCCAGCCACCAGCCCGGCCAGGAGCGCCGCCGCCAGCCGTCGGGGCCCGGGGGGTCCTGCTCAGTCCCCGTCTGCTCTCGCCCAAAGAGCCCTCAGGGCTCCCAGCCCTGTCGGTCGTCTTTTACTGCCTTTCCTGGGGCAGATTCCTAACGCTTCCTGCCAGAATCCCACCTTCCCGGCACACGCAACTGGGGGCCCCTGGCCTATCCGGGAAGATCTCACTTCTAGAAACCTCTCTGCTGTTGATCATTTTATTTACAAAACAAAATGTCTACTGGGGTGGGGGGAGGAGGGAGGCAGGAGGAAGCGTTCCTTGGCCTCGTGCAGCCAAAGCCGTAAAAGCGGGATGCGTGGCGCCATCGTGGTGGCGGGTCCCTGATGTTGCGCTGGGCTGTCGCATTAGTGCCAGGCTTCGCACCAACAATGTGGCCGGTTCTGGGGAAAGTTTGGATGCTGGGGTTGCAGCCAAACACGGCAAGTCAGATCCTCCGGGGGGTCACCACGCTTTGTGCTGCAGGGGTGGAAGAGTGGTGGGACTGGAAGTATAAAAACTTTTACCATCAGCACGCTCAGCCCTTAGAAGAGGGACCTAGTGAGGCTGTGGGATCTCTTCCCTTGGAGGTCTTCCTGACTTGACTGGACAGAGCCTGAGTGACCTGATCTGTCTTTGGAGTTGAATCCAACATTGAATTTGGACCTGCTTTAAGTGGAGACCTGGTCCAGAGGTCTGTGGAGGTCCTTACATCCTAAATTACTTTGATCCTAAGGTCAGCCCAAGTCTGTCTGTAGCCTAGAGAAATCAGCATCTATCTGGGAAAACTTTCCTTCCTGAAACAAGTGAGAGAGGCAGGACATGGTGCCTTTTCTTCTTCGATTGCTCCCCTTTAAAGCTTTCCCAGGATGGCGATAAGGCTAGAGGAAAATATGAAGAGGGGACAATTGGTAGGAATGGCTGTAAGAGGCGAAGGCTTGAAAATAGATCCACTGGGAAACTCAAGCAAGTCCCTCCCAACAGATTCCACCGTCCCTGGAAGGGGCCCAGAGAGGTGGTAGATGCCCAGGGCTCTGTCTGGGGCGGTGGGTGGGTAGGGAGCAGACACAGTCCTGCTACTGTCCAGATCTCCTTACCCAGCTCCTTTTTCCTGTGGAGGTGGGAGTCTGTGTGACCAGGGCCAGGAGGAGGTTGGTGAGGGGTACTGCATCGTGGTGGGGTCTTGAATGAGGAGAGGTAGGTGGAAAGTGCAGCCAGAGCCTCAGCAGGAGCTTTGGGAGAAAAGGGCGAGTGCACATACACCAGGGTCTCTCTCACCAGGAAAGGGTACAGATGGCAACGTAACTCAGACTGGAAGAGACCTTGTGAAGTCTCTCTTCTGACCTTGTGCTCAAAGCAGGGTCAGCTGTGAATCAGACCAGGTTGCTCAGGCCTGTCTCATTGAGTCCTGACAACCTCCGAGGAAGGAGACAGCGCAGTCTCTTTGGGCAACTTGACTGTCCTCATGGGGGAGATGTTTCTCCTTGTATCCATTCAGCACTTCTCTAGTCTCATTTCATGTCTACTGATTCTTGTCCTGCTGCTATGCACTGCTCCAAAGAGCTCTGATCCCATGAAGACATCTGTACCTCCTCCTCCGTGAAGGATTTTTCAGATGAAGTCCTCAACAGGATGAAATCTCTGTAGAGGCAGGTTCGTTGCCTTCTCTGGGTGCTAAGGTCCAGGTGTGTAAGTGGGACATGAGAGGGAGGAAATGGAGTGGAGCAGGAAGGTGGTTGGGTGTTTCCACAGCACAGCGTGGGGTGGAGGAAGCTAAAGCCCTCTGCAGTAGGTGGGCAGGAGAAGTTGTATGTCTGCCTTCCCTTCTGTGGGGCTCGGAGGTAGGAGATGAGTGGTGATTCAAGGCTCCCATCCCTCCCTCAGAGCGGTGAGGATGGCAGGTGGTGGGTGAGCCGCTTCACGGGCTGAGAGGCTGGGGCTGGCATGGTACTGCTGCCCCTTGTCCATCTGGACCTTTTTGTGATACTGCAGGAAACTCTGCTGCCTGTACACGGAGCTGGGGAGGTTGTGTTGCCGTCAGTGGGGGGCACAGGCTGCGAATGTAGGCATCGTTCAAACCTTTGGTGTTGTGAGGTGAATCAGGTATTTCCCTTCCTTGCTTTTCCTCCTGAAGAGCTGTGTTGTTTCTTCTGACGTCTTTCCTGGTCCTGGTGCATCCAGAAGCTGCTTCCATCCTGGAGAAAGCAGAGTCCTGCCTCTGGGGCAGGTGTCCTCAGCAACTGGCCTAGCTCCTCTCCCAGTTTCTCCGAATTTCTCCCTTCACCTTCTTTGGAAGAAAAGCTGTACACCTGGATGTGCCAGATCTTACTTTTTTTGACAGCTGCCTGCTGGCTCTCTGCTTTCATCACTTGCAAGGACTGGACTGCTTCCCTTTGCTAGCAAGTCGTGCTGACCTCTTTCTGGTTTGAGGGGTAGCCGGGAGAGGAATTGTCCTGCCTCTTAATGGCTGCCTTCCTTCCTGTAGGACCGGTTATCAATGTGGACCAGACCGTTTCCCTGAGCCTAGAGGTCTTCTGGCCCTTGTTTCCCATTACTTCAATCTGGTTTTATTCTCTGCTCCAACCCTGGTGCTAGTCTAATGTTCAGCCTAAAAAAAAGAAAAAAAAAAAGTAAAAAGTCACCAGTGCTGATGCAGGTCTTGTGTAAGCTGACTTCCGATAGCATCTGTAGCAAGTTCAGGGAACAAAACTCAGTGTCTGGAGGACATACATGATAGATCTTGGCTCAGAAGACAGAAATTGGGTAGGTTCAACGGTGTATTGTTTGCATATAAGGTCTAGATGCTTGTTCTTGTTTCTCTCCAGATCTTTTACACCTACAAGTTAGGGAAACCAGACATGCCTAGAAAGTACACTTTCTGCAGCAGGTGCAGTGATGAGCAAACTGCTCAAACTTCTGCCGTAAGGAGCTGGAAACCGTGAGCAGGAGCTCTGTGCTCAGTGAAGAACTACATGGACCCTTCATCTGTGTGGGGTCTCTGTCCTTTGGGGTTTTTGAGATGCAAATAGACAAAGCTACACCTGCCATGTGCTAGTGCTGGCAATGCTCCAACCTCCTGCTGGTGGAAGGCCTGGAGACTCCAGAGATCCCTTCCCACCATCACTGCCGTGGTTTTGTGGCTATTGCAACCTCTCCAAGCTGTCGTGCAGGCACAGACACAAAGGGTGTGCTGAACATTACAGGTCTGTCTGGGCTGTACCTAGTAGCAGCGGGACGTGCTGACCCTGTGCTTGCACATGTGTCTGTGTGCCCCATGGGACCGTGTACCACTGACAGAAGAAGATACGGTTGTCGCATCCTTGGGAAGCCATGGGGTTGGGCCTGTTAGGAAATGGGGATATACCATGGGGATATGTTAGACAATTGGATCTCGATGTATGCTTGTGCCATGGGGATATGTTAAACGTTTGGATCTCAATGTATTTTTGGCTGGCACTTTGCTTGTAATTCTCAGGCACCATCCAGAATATGGAAAATTTTGATTTCTGGAAGCTTTATTGTAAATATCTGAGGGCCTTCCTTTTAGCAAAGTTAGTCTAAGTTTCAAACTAGTCTTTCAATTTCTGGGAGAAGAGTCTAATAGGTTTGGGTTATAACTGTGTAGGAAACAGTAAGTGTAAGCACTGATGAGAAGAGAGAAGGGCCTTAAAGGTGCTCATTCCTTGAAGGAGAGAGCCTCTCTGCTCTTGTTCTGCCTGAGTCCTGGTACAGTCAGGCCTTGTGCTGACTTTGGGAAAGAGGTGGATTGTTACAGTCTAGGAGAACATTTTATTATTCAATGGAGATCTTTTGTATTTACTCTTCTACTTAATTTGTAATAGAAATAAATCTTTGTCCTGTTGTTTGTAATAAAGTGCCTCTGAGTTTTTCAAGTACTCCTAAGAGCAGGAGAGTGATAATACAGAGCAAGACCCGTGCCACGTGCTGCTCCTTGCATTTCACTGTGTCTGTCTTACTTTGGCTTTTTTTGGTCTGATGGGATTGCTGAAGACATCAGAGGGAGGGAGGGGTGCCAAGGCCAGGTCAGAGGTGGCTTACTGAACTTCTGCAACCCACCGAGTCACCAGCCTGGTTTCAAGGACTCCTGTCAGGCCATAAATGTGTCCCAGACATCAGTGCATGAAGTTCTGGCCCAGTCAGGTGCCTCTGCTGAAAAGGGGTGGGTAGAGAAGCCAAGGCTACTACCTGTGATAGGAACACAAGCTGAGAGATGGGCAAGGGAATCATGCTTGGTGTTATTTACTCTCTGATTGCTCCAGCATGGAGCCAGGCCAGCTGGAGGAGGTTTTACTTCTGGACATGTTATGTTGCCTGTCGTGTCGTAGCAGCAAAAGAAATGCTTAGTCTTGCCTTCCGCACCCTGGGCCAGCCAGTGAATTTTTTTGTCTGCAGAGATGGAGCTCCCGCAGCCACAGCCTGACACTCTGTTCACCTTGTACAAGAACAGCATCTGTGGGAACGATTCATCAAGAAACAACTGTAGCTAATGGAGGGTGTAGGCCTTCAGGGGCAACTCCACACTGCAGGGTGATGATCTGGCTTGTGCATGGCTAAGATAGTGGCAGATGTTGCCCCTGGTCCTGCTGAGAGGGTGGTGACTGGCTTCCCAAGGGGTTTTGAGGGAAAGCCAGCTCTGCAGCTGGTGCCCTGTCAACAGCTCAAGCTGCCTGGAGGGCTATGAATGAGATGGGAACAGGTAGTTTAATGGGATAAGTTATCAAAAAGTGGATAGGAAGGTCTTCTTCAGTAGCTCTGGGACTTCCAGATATGATTTATCTGCCTTTGGAAGAGGCCAAGAAGTGCATCAAATTTCTGAGAAAGAGTAGAAGGGTGAGGCAGCTACCATTTGGCCAGGAGGGAGTACCTTGGAGGGAATCCAGAGCTTTGCAAGTTGTAGAGGCCAGTCTGCTCAGCTGGAGATGGGCTTTAGCTGCATCCGTTACCTAGAACTGTGATGCCAGCATTAGTGATCAGAGAGGATGTCCCACTCAGGGAAAGCCTGAATGTGAACTAATGTGATCACGGGAAGGCTGATGCTCTTTGGAGGACTGACTGTACAGTGTGTGGTGTATGGAGATACAGTGGCCCATGTTGGCACAAAGAATATCTTCACATGTTTGTCTTCGTGTAGACCCAGAGCCCTGAGTGGTAGGAGGCTGTTGTGGTTTAGGCCTGATTGGCAGCCAACCACAATGCAGCAGCTCTCTCTCCCTTCCCCTCCGGCAATGAGAAGGGACAGAGAGCCAGGCTTGGGGTTCAAGATAGGACTGGGATGGGGAAAAATCCCCCTTTTATGATCACAAGCAAAAGGCAGACTCGTTAGGGGAAGAAAAAAAGAACATACATTTATTACAGACACTAACAACACATAACAGAGTAGGACAGTGAGAAGCATTGCCACATCTTGAGAACACCTTCCCCCCACCCCTCCCTTCTTCCCGGGCTCAGCTCTGCTCCCGATATCTCTACCTCCTCTCCCAGTGGCACAGGGGCAGGGAATGGGGGGTGCAGTCAGCTCTGCCACTTCCTTCGTGTTCGGTGAGGGGAGTGTCCGAAACTTGTTCCCCCTGCTCCATCGTGGTCCCCCTCTCACAGGAGACAGTCCTCCACAAACTTTCTCCTACATGAGTTCCTCCCATGGGCCGCAGCGTTCCCCACACTGCTCCGTCATGGGTCACTAACTTCCTCCGACTGGATTCCCTCCCACGGCTGCAGCCCTTCCCGAGCTGCTCCGGCGTGGGACTCCCCGCATGCTGCAATCCTCCCAGCACTGAATTATAGCAGTGGGGCTACCTTTTCCCATGAGACCCCGGCCTTATTCGGGCACAGCACCTTGATCAGCTGAGCAGGAGCAACAGGCTGTAAATCAATGTCTGCTCCACCGTAGATCTCCATGGGTGGCAGGGGGGGGGCCGCCCTGCCGTCTCACCACAGGATACAGGGGGGTCTCTGCTCCAGCACACCTCCCCCCTCCTTTCTTCCTCCATTCCTCCACTGACCTTGGTGTTCATGCAGCTGCAGCAACTCCTCCTCACAAGTCCCACTGCTCGTCACCACGTCCCTTCTTAAATACATTATCGCAGAGGCGCAGCCGATTGGCTCAATTTCCCAAACAGAAGTGGAGCTGAAGTGGAGCTGGGGGAGCTTCGAGAAGCTTCTCACAGGGGGCCGCCCCGATAGCCCCCTCCCCTGCCACCAAAAAACTCCACCACTCACTCAACCCAGATCAGAGGCACCATCTAGGCAGTGGAGCTGATTTCTCAACTCAATCCTGTTTGAGTTTATGCCTTCTCCCTGTCCAAGGCCAAGAAGTCAAGGTTGGAGATGGCAGCATCAGCTATACCTGGAAGCTGGGGTTATTTCTAGGAGCTACTTTTGGATATGAAGTAGTCAACCCCTTCTTGTGCAGGCAAACTGAGAGGGAGGGAATTGGGGGGTCTCGGTGGGGAGCCCCAGCTCAGGGCTGCCAGACTCTGAACTCTCACCACCTCTGTCAGTATTTGAACACGGGGTGCAGCTGGTGGTCCCTAGGGAGTACAGGGACCAATAATGTGTTGAGCATGAAATACCCTGGCCACGCTACTTGGGCCAAGAGGAAAAGGAGGCTGTATCCTAGCCTCTTCTGCTGATTGGAAGTCCATAGGGTTGTTGTCTGTTCAGGGCCAGTTGTCTGTCTGAAAATGGCCATGGAGCAAGTAGGAAAGGTAGCCGTGGGTTGGCTCAGAAGAGCTTACTGTGCCCACTGCTATCCCTTCTCTTTCTCTGATGCCAGGAAGCTCCGATTTGCTAGTCAATTATAAATTTGCAAAGCTGTTGTCTGGATGTGAACTATCCAAAGAGATCTTTAATTGACAAAGGAGGTAACAAGCAGCTTCTGACCTTTTTGTTCAGAGACAGTCCTGAGCCAGCAACAGAGCTCTTGGTCTGACAGCTGAGATGCAGCTCGCTTGGCGCATGAAGCCCTCTGAGTCAATCATATCTATGTCTGGCTCTTGCAAGGAGACCCTCTGCACTTCATGCTGACCCCTTCCACCTGGAAAAGGTGCTCATGAGTCCAGGTTGTGACCTTCACACAAACTGCATCCTAGGCTTCATATCACGTCGATAGCTCTATGTTTTAGCACACAGGCTGTCATCAGGTTAGTGCTCATTGGGGCGTCAGCCCTGGAACTGACCAATTAAACAATGGTTCTTTGGACACTCCGTCCCAACCCATCATGCTGAGTTTGGGATAGGCTCGTCAAAAAGTTGCAACCATGGAGATGTCTGCTGTGATGGAAGTGGCAGAAGGTGGTGAGCCGTCTGGAAGATCTTGCTGTGTTGATCAAGATCTGGCCATCTCATCTGAGCATGTGGGGGATCCCCAGAGCTGTGGCAAAATGGCACATTATTTAGCTATGAACATTCAAAAACTGGGTTGTGTAAGTAACAGCCCAATGCTGGACTCTGGAAAGAATATTTGACACTACAGATATTCCCCTTGCTTGAATGCTGTAGTGGGGTGGATCATGGTCCAGTTGTTTAAGCAACAGCCAGTAACACTCCAGATCTTGTTGTGGACAGAAAAGGAAACACTGTAAGTGAAGCCAAGGGTTTACTATTACTATATGAAAAAGTTTTAACAATATTT